CTGTGTGAATTCTATTTCAAATTATATCACTTATATCTTGAATCTTCTGTGTGAATTTTCTTGATATAATATTATATCTTGATTTTTCTATGTGAATTATCTTGATATATTATCTTACGTAACAAAAAAGGTTACAAATTATTATATAAATAAAGATCTAGATAAAGTAAAAAAAATCTAATATTTAATAAAAATTATTATATTTTTATTAAAAAAGAATTAAGAGTTAGATTTAAGTTATATTAACAAAAATAATTAAAAATTAGAATTAGTTTTTTATTAATAGAAGAATAAGAAAATTTATTTATTTATAAAAAATTCTTTATTATTTATATAGAAACAAACTTTAAAATAATTAATTTAAATAATATTTAGTAAGAAAAGTTATTTTTATTATAATAAATTTGATTAAGCATATTTTTCTTTGAATATAATAATATTCTTCTATTTATACAAATTTAAAACTATACTAATTGATATATATTTTATTGAAAAATATAAGAAATGTTAAGTTTCAATATGAAAGTTGCACAATCTGATTATAAATATTAAAATATTAAATTTCATAAAGTGTATAAAATATTAAATATCATATTGGCTTTAAGAGAAAATTATGAAAATAAGATAATTTTGGATCAAGAAGATCAAAACATTTTTCTTGATCATTACAATTCAAAATTTCTGATTGTATAATAACTGAAAACGCTTCTTATTGAAATGCAGATTTTAGTAGAAAATTCGATATAACATATCCTCTTGCTAAACTGGATTCTTTAAAGACGTCAAATTTTTAGTTCGAAATTTAGCTAAATCTATCCAAACTCTTTAGTTCAAATATTCCAGCACGTGATTACATGTATTATTATTATCGTTTATAATAACATCGATATCAATATTACTATCATTAACAAACTGTCTCAGACTTATTTTATGTTATTATTATTTAATATAAATAATCTCTTGAATTTATTGCAAATATAGATGAAGTTCTTATTACCTTAATCTGCTCAACTTTATTATTATTGAATCTCATGATGCCTATTATAACAACAGGTTGCAGAATATACTTTATATTGCTAATTACTATTTGAATTTACTGATATTTAATTCTGAATCCAACTCATAACAGACACACATCATATATTTTACAAGTGCTAGAATAAAAAGCTCAGAGAAATCCAAAGCCTGTTTGGAATTCTCTATTAATAAACGACTATTAAGTCTGTTATTTTTGTCTAATTTATAAAATTAACTCTAAATTTTATTTTTTGGTGTTAATATAAATATTTTGAATATTAGTTGTAATTTTGTCTTATAAGCTTTTTAATATTAACTTGAAGGTATCAGTGAACTATGAATCTCCCCTAGTATTTCTGCGAAATTTGGATAATCAGCTGAATTCTGCATTATTTGATAAAATCCGGGCGTTTCCCGAACTTTAGTAAAATTTTTTACGACAAACTTCATTAAGTCTGCTTTTAGATCGTCCCATTTCCATCCGGAAGAGAATAATATTTCCGCGGCATCATCTACCGTCAATTCGTCCATTATTTTTAAATAGCAGATTGAACGCAACTCTTTAATAAGATACTTATCCGCAATGCTATCGATTAATAGCCATGATTAATACAAATAAGAAAAATAATTAATAATAAGCAATATAAAAATAATACCTAAACATAGAGACTAATGTTTCCATTGGTGTTGGCACATTTCCCAACGAAACTTTATTAGTGTATAGGAATTCAAGCATTTGTAAAACAACCGAAGGAGTAAAATCAGTAATTTCAATTGTTATAAAACCATCCGATTGGATAGATTCCATCCAGGTTCCTTTTAACATTTGACAAAAATATTCAGAACGAGCAGATAATATACAACTACTTGCATAAATTGCCTGTCCTTGGACGACCAACTTTAAATCAGCCATCTGTGGATTATTCAGTTGTCGATACCAAGCTTTCACCAAGTCTTTCGATGTCGACTCCGGCGGAAACGGTGATTTTTGTTTTTGTGTTGACGTTTGGCATTTATCGAATTCCACGCCAATTATAATATTTGGTGGGAGTAATGATCTCTTACAAAATTTTCGTGATCCTTTCATTATGACGCAAATGAAATTGTTATTCGGATTTGGGAAAATTTGACGATAACGATAATCTTTTTTAAACATACCCCAGCTTTGCTCTGCACAAGAAAATTGTTTCTCGATAGCTTTCTTGGCAATATAACCTTGAGTGGAATTCTTTATGTAAATGTATGCTGCACAAGAATTACGTCTTTCCCATACACCTTGTCCTTTCTTTTCATGCTCATTCGGTATTGCGAATAAAAATAATTCACAATATTGTGGATGCTTTGTTGATTCCTTATAATATAAATATTTTCTATAATTGCAAATCATAAAAAAGAAGCTTGAGAACAAAATAGGAAAAATATTTATTTTAATTACCGAAACAAATCTTAATTGCCAAAACATCTCTGAAGAAGTGGCAAACGGCGGGCTATATAACTCAGTTGAGACATTTAAGATATTATTTATTGTAAACTCATGTAGACTTGGTCCATGTGCATTTGCCATATTTTTCCTAATATTGACTCTTTTAAAAAATCGCAAGTGGGAAAGCAGGTGTGTTGTTGAGATCCACGATTAAGCAACAGCTACGGTGGGTTGCAAAAGAATTTATTGTATGTGCAGTAAGTAAAAGCAACAATAGCAATAGTGGGTATAGTAGTGTAAAAGAATAACAAAGTAATCATCGGGTATAAAAACGATATTACTAACATCTACAAATAATCGTTGTAAACCACTTAACAATGCATGACATTATTAAATCTGCAAAAATGGGCATTGGTGCCATCAACAATGGGCGATATTTTCCTTTGGTACTGGTGCATCAAAAATCATGTGCATATATTACATGTTCATGACACTCGATTCGTAACGGTAAGTAGATTTTAAGTTGCATGTGTTCCATGTCTTTGTGCCTATCGATATCGATATATGTATTTACCGTTACATTGCTTTACTTGTACATGTATATGCATGGAAGATCAAAATCTTTGGTTTATTTTTTCGCGTGGCATCTTCCATAAGATGGCATATCAAATGCAGGAAAACATTATTTGATATTGTAAGCGGGGACATCGAGAAAACTAATCTTGTATATAATATACATTATTTTTAAAAATACAAATGTTAACTTTGGCACACATGTATAAAATTACAAATAGATAACAATATTAAGCATTAAATTAAGAAATAAGCTAAGGAATTTTGTCATAAATGATCAATCTATTATTCTATATTCGAAGCAATACTAATTATTTATAGATGTTTAAAGGTAAAAGATATTGAAGCTATAACTGATGTTGAAATCAAAGAGAATAATGCAACACTCAGTTGAGATGAAATAACAGCAGCAGAATTATCAGGTGGTGGAATTGATGATGTATTATATGAACCAACAGTATTTCCACCACCATTACCCAAAGTAGCTTGCCCTGTACCAAGAGTTTGATATGAAGTAGTTCCATTTGTGGTGACATTTGGTGGTCCATATCCAGCGGGTGGCCATGTCGCAGTTTCATTGCCTTGATAGTAACATGTGATATTCACCCAGTCTACATACATTGTATATACGCGATTCTTATCAGACCAATCGGTCGGCGTACCTGCCCAGTCGGCAGTTCCTTTTGCAGCCTCCCCACCATCCCAAACACTAAATTGGATTCGTTGTGGGCCTGACGGAAATAAGAATGAGCCATTCGATGCTTTTGTATCTTCCAATTTAATCGTACGAACTGGATTCCCATCTATATACCATGTAATATGATCAGGCATCCATTCAATCCCATAATTGTAATACGTAGCGGAGGAGTCGCCACTTAAGTTGTGATGATTTGCATGAGAATAGTCAAGTACACCTTGCCAATAAAAGTTTGATTGTACTTCACTTGGTGCGAGACCAACCCATTCAAAATCGATTTCATCTCCTTCCAAGTTTTTAGTCTAATATCATACACAAGTTAATATTTTATGAATCAATATGTCATCGATAAGCCTAAATAACGATAATACTCACAATAAACGATGATACGACACCAAGATTAGAAGAAGCGGTCTTTATCCTTGCAGTTACCCACCCATACTGCATCCACCTTGTTGATGAGACAGTCGATCCAAATCCTTGATAATTACCAACCTCATTTTTATGGGTTCCATCATATTTCATCGAAAGTACGAGGTTACTGTTACTAGAACTTGCATAATCTGGTGTGAAATCAGATGTCCAGTCATACTGTTGTATAAATACGATAGCATAATTTTAATAATGGATGAGACATTCAATAATTCTTGCGAGTAAGGCTTAAAAATATCTTACTGTATTAGGATTTCCGCTATAATTCTGGGCATTTATCATCTTTGGCGCGTTGAAGTCATCGTAAAGATTGACGCAATATGCTGTAGGATAACATGATTTGGGACTATAGGAATTATCGGGATCACAACCAGTTGAACAAAACCTTGGATCATTTGAGCACCATCCGTTATTGCAACATGGTGATTCTATCGGACATTTTTTTACGGAATCATAATTTTTACATCCTCCCAATACTAACGATGAGGATGGGATAAGTGAGAGCAATAGCAGGAACGAAAGCGGCGCTGCTATGCATAACATCTAATAGAAAAACAACACGAATTTAATTCAACTTAAAATATAATATAATAACAATTAATAAACCTTTTACCTTGCCGTAAAAGATTGAATTCATAATATTCATGAATTCGAGTGCGTCACGTATCTATTTATCGTTACTTTGAGACAAAACGAGGGACAAGACTATTTACTTTTTAAAATATAAAATAAAGGGATAAGAAAAAAGTAATTTTCGAGTTTGGTTCGTTTCTCTGTTCCTTCAGTTTAAAATTTCTTTTATTTTTTTTTATTATTATTACAGATAACAACTATAATAAATACGATGAATGTAATATTGAAGAAAAGAGAAAGAATTGTTTTTGTTCGTCTCGTCTTTTATCCCTATCTCTGGCATGAAAAATTAAAGAGTGCGAAAGTTCAATAAAAATGTAATCATCCGATTATTTATAATTTTTTCCGTAAAAAGAACAAAAAAGTAAATAATAAATCACCCAAAAATAGAATGAATCAAATATTGCATAATAAAATAATAACATTATTGAATAGGAAAAAGAAGGCGGAAGAAAGATTACCGACTGAAAATTTGTGGATGCACATGCAATTATTTACAATTAGCCTACATGCACAGAAAGACGTGTGCATACACATGCATCGATCATGTACTATATTAAAAATTAATACCGGATTCTACTCGCAGAATTGAGACAAAAAGTTTTGTGGTTTTCCAGCATAGTAAAAAAGCAATTTTTACACTCACAATCCAGAGATCTTTGATACCTTCTTTGGTAAAATTCATTTCTATATTTGAAATTGGAGAAGTTGAATGAAAAGATATATTGATCTTGTATAGGTCTTTCCACTATATCCAGGTCCTGTGATTTTATTCCGATTTCTGGACATTTCGCAAAAAAAATGACTAGGATACTTTCCCCCTTTCTACTTATACGTCTTCTTAATGTTGTCTAATACGAGAGAATATCATGACTCGCTCACAAAATGGTCGTTTGACTGTATATTCACTATATCACCATTCTAAAACGATAAATACAGTTATGACTACATGTTCAAAAAATTCGTTACCTTTTAAACAGCGCAGAAATTAGTGTGTAATTTCCATTTTATCAAATCATATTTGATTTTCACCACTTTGGTGCTACATTTGACATACATTTGCTTAACATTATTTTTTTTTGATTGGTAGAATGGCACAAAAATCACCATTCGATTCGTCTAGTTATGTCGAATCAAATGGCGGTATTTTTTGTGCTCACCACATCGAGTTATCTTTACTTCGTCACAAAACCCTCTTCGTCAACACTTCCCCCCCCCCCTTTTCCCCTTACCTGTATTCCAAAAAAAAAGCAACATGCATTTTATTTCGGGCCGCTGTCCGATTGTTGGATTTGAGCCTACATTAGACAATAAGACGAATTTGAAATTAAATGCACGAAGATGAGTAAGCTACACAAAAATTACTTAAAAAACATTTATAAAATTATTCCCGTCCGCTCAAATTAAAACTACCTGCTGTGAATTCTTGTTATGCAAGCAAAGTTGGGGTAATGTTTATCATGGCAGTTCTTATTTCTGGAAGAATACGCTATATACGTAGATGTATATCGTGTCGAAAGATTTTTTCCTTTAGCTAACACTAAGCAGTTTTCTTACTTCATCGATGACATAGTTGTAAAAAACTTGGCATTTATACACGATGAGAAAAAACCAAAACAAATATTGCGCGCATAGTGATATCACACAATTGTCACGAGAGAGGCTAACTTTCG